GAGACTGAACATTTTTTTTTTTTTTTTTTTTTTTCAAGACACGGCCTCTTAGGTTGCTCACTCTTGGATCAAACTTGCATTCCTCCTGCCTCAGCCTCCTGGACAGCTGGGATTACACACAGGTCCTGGCAGGAAGGGAGCTGAGGAATAGATGCTCACCAAGGCAGGGGAGCCTGCGGGAGCCAGGTCAGCCGGATGTGACCCAGGACAGGCGTATGGGGCTGGTCCAGGTGAGGGCTGTCGTCATCAGGATCCTGGCGGGGAAGCTGAGCCTGCACCCTGACTGCCCTTCCAGGCTTGTTACCAGCCCAACACTGAGAAATCCACAGCTCTGCCAACAGGTGTACCCCTGTAATCTCAGCTACTCAGAAGGCTGAGGCAGGAGTGCATGTGCAAGGCCAGTGTGGGGAACTTGGCCAGACCTTGTCGTCTCAAAGGGCAGCAAGAGTAGCTCAGGGGTGAGCACCTGCCCAGCAGGCACAGCTGGGGCCAAAAAAAAGAATGAGGATATTGAGTGGGAAGGGCCAGGTGGGGGAGACCTGGGCAGTTTTGGCAGCAGGTGGGGCACAAAGTGGCATGTGCTGGAGGGAACTGGGGATGGGGAGGCTGCAGTGGGCAGCAGGGTTTGAGCCCACGAAGGTGGCCCCCTCCAAAAGCCCAGTTGCCCAGAGCCAGGCACACAGGAAGTGCAGCTGGACAGGGCCTTGGGAGCTCAGGACAGGTGCTGCACTCCAGAGGCACCTGGGGACCAGGTCCTGGCTCAGCACTGTCCCCCAGAGCCAGCCCAGCAGCCTGCAGGTGTGGACTGAGACCCATTCCCCACCCCCACCTCAGTTTCTCACCTGAAACAGTCTGTCCTACGTGGTTCCAGTGCCCTGGGAGGCTGAGGCAGGAGGATGGCAAGTTCAAACCTGGGTAATTTACAGGACCCTAAATTTCCACCACTGATTCTAGCATCCATTCATGGGTTGTGCCTGCAGAAAGCATTGCTGTGAAAATGATGGATTTCTGCCCCTCTTTCTACTTGCAGTTTTGCCCTGCTGGGGATTGAACAGCACCCCACACCCCACACCTGCTGAGCTGTGCCGCTAGCCCTCTGCACACCAACTGGAATTCTGTTTCTTCTCTCCCAGTTACTCATGTACCTGCTCACTTATATCAATGTGGCCTCATAGAGCTGGGCACAGTGGCAGCCTCCTGTAGTCCCAACTACTTGGGAGGCTGAGGCAGGACTGCGTAGGCCAAGGGTTTCCGGGCTGTGGTACAGTGTTAAGCTGGTGTCCGCACTAAGCATCAGTCTGGACTCGGGCGTCCCATATGGTTACTTGGTTGCTCAAGTGACTCTGGCTTGGTCACTGAGGGCTCAGTCCTGGTTCCTCTGCCTCCTCGAGCAGCCCCACCATTTTGGCTTGGGAGCACTTCCTTAATTTTTGGCACAGCAGGATGCACCAGTCTCCTCTTGAATCAGATGTGATTAAACAATATGGTGGATTTTAAGTCAAAATTAATTACATGGCTGGGGAGATGGCTCAGTAGAATAAGCGCTTCCCTGGCAAGCGCAAGGCCTGAGTTCAATCCCCGGTTCCCATTGCCATGAATACCCCCCCACCCCCGCACATCCTCCCCCCTAGGCACACTGATCCCACGGGTCTTGCCACTTTCTGAAGCAGGTCTGAAAGTCCTCTTTCCTGAGGGTCTTCACAACGTGTGAGCACAAATTCAGTGACTGCCAAGGCCCAGTGGGCTCCAGTGGAAAGGCTGGCCTGCATACACCTGATGCTGTGTCCTCCC